GCTATATTGGTCTATGATCTATTTAGCAACGCATAACTACTATGCATACATCTCTATAGGTGTCCTCATGCAGCTTCATACAACTATTCATTCCAAAATTCATTAACTGAAGAATCTTTTGATGTATTAGACTTAACCAACCTTGTGACTTCCATAATATAAACAACAACATGGTCATAGTGTTATTCAACTTGAACTATTCAACTTATCTTCAGTATACCTTCACTCTAAAGGATAAAAAAAATTCATACAAATCTTACCCTCTCAAAAGTCATGAGAAGTGATCACGTTTTATATCTCTATCCTTTCTCAACATCTCTCCTCTAGCCTTACCATAATCACTAAACTCTTATTTGATCAAATGAATCTTCCAAACCTTACACTTCTCTTTAAGAAATCAACAATATAATTTTCCTTACTAAGTTATTCACTAATCGTAAGCACTATTCACAAAATTGTCCTAATAAATTCAAATGAAATTTTAGTGTCCTTGTCTAAATAATACCTCGAAAAAAACTCATTCTTACTATCTCCAACCTCGTTAATTTCCTTCTTTTGAAATGAAATCATTATCAAGATATTTTCCTAACCATGTGACATATATTCTCAACCACACAATGTCATGCCCTTTCACAAGGGTCAAATTTGAAAAAAATGTCTCCTCACCATTGATGAGAGAATGAACCAAGAATTTTGACCTTAAATCAAACCACACACGCACGATTAGGAATGAAAGAAGAAAGTTTCCTAAAGTCCTGTAGTCTCTCAAAGAAAAGTAACGGATGTCTCCGCACCTATCCGTAAGACTCTACAGACTCAGCTCTTGTACTCGTGAGACCGATGAACCTAGGGCTCTGATACCAATTTGTCACGACCCAAAAATCAAGAGTCATGATGGCACCTATGTTCCCAACCGATAGGTAAGCCAACCCAACAAGTATCACCAATTCAACTTAAACGTGAAAAGATAAGTATCAAACTAATATCTAACATACTAAGTATTCAAACAATTGTGGAATATAAATAAAACTACCCCAAGATTTAGTATCATAAGTACAAGATCTTCTACAATATGATACAATTCCAAACTAATATAAAAATCTAAACATAAGAATTATCCTATCAGAATAACAAAATAACCTAATAAATAGAGGTAGATTGAAGGTGTGGGCTGCAGAATATCCCAAGCAGCACACCACAAGTCCAAGATAATTCAAACTCATATCCAATCTCGAAGAACGTGCCTAAATTGAAAGTCAACACTACACCACAAAAAAAGTGCAGGAAGTGTAGTATGAGTACGAAACCACGTGTACCCAGTATATCTTATTGACCGACAACGAAGAAGTAGTGACGGGAGTTTATATACAAAAAAAATAAACGTTTTTAATTATAGAAGTCTATATTACACTTACCAGTCAAGTTTCATCAAAAAGAGGTAATCAAACATCAAGTAACTTGATTTGATAAGTAAATAAACTAAGAATCAACTCCACCAATTAAAAATACCACGCAAGACACAATCGGTCTACAATGGTCACGATTTTCCCAAAAAAATCTAAACTGTAACCAATATGTCATATTCAAGAAAGAATTATTTTACGTTTTTACCAAATGCCAATGATTGGAAGATCTCCAACCAATATAATAATCTTAAATGCCCAATTTTCCATGCTTGCCATGGAAAGAACGATGCCACTGCCATTTGCCCCCTTTTTTTTTCAATTTTTTTCCATCAATTAAACTAATAATAACAAGAAACAAAATAATAAAATGAAATACAAATCAACCCTTAAATTAAATACACCATCAGAATGATGGTCATTAATGGAAATTAATACATCCTAGGTGTCGTTTCTTTTTTTTAATTATAATATATATACCAATCGTTTTTCCCCACTTTAATATGAACTATCCATGTAATAATATAAAAATCAACAAACCAAATTACTTTGACAACATACCTTTGGTAGAATTGAAAAGGGATGAGAAGTTCCTTGTTTTCGTTAGCAGTGGTTATTGTTTCTCCTCTCGTTCATCGCTTACGGTAAGTTTCTGCATCCATTTTTTTTTTCTAAACAAGAGTTTATTAACCGTGAAACCCCACTAACCTATTATCTATATTACTTATTTAATAAAAGTTTCATCAATTGGGTACTCATAGTTATCTAATAGTTTAAAAATACCCCTTTAAATTTTTAAATGGAGTCAAACTAGTCCTAGTTTTCAAAACGAACTAGTTGGTCGTTACAAGAATATTTTTAAAAAGGAGTATATCACTTAAAATACTCACCACTTACAAATTCAATATTTTATAAAAGGAAAATATCTCTTAATATCTCTCATCTTTACATAAAAAATAAAATCTAAAAAAATCCCAAAAAAAAATAAATCCTTTGTCTTCTTCATTATTCTTGCATAAATTTTGGCGGCGGAAACAATGGAGAATCAAAAGATTAAGGTAATGTGTAGTTATGGTTGAAAAATTCAACTTCGTCCTCACGATCATCAACTATCAAATGTTGGCGGCGATACCAAAATCCTCTTTGTTAAAATAAATTCGACGAAATTTACGTTTTTTTCTGTTTGACGAGAAGATTTTGGAAACGGATACAATTTTGTTGACAAACAACTTTGGAGAAGGAATTTTCAATTGGACATTTGATACAATCAGTGAAACACAATCGATCAACTATTCATTAATTGTTGAATCATTAATTTGTATGGAAATTTTGACATGAATGTTTTTTTGTGTAATTACTTTTTGGTTGACGAGACAGATTTTTACTAATGCACGAGTGAATACAAATTCGTAATTGAGTTTGGAGGAAAAAAAAAACAAAACAAAAATATAGCATATGAAGAAGAAAGAAAGAGTCAAAGAAAGAAGGTTGCAAAAATTGTATTCATACAAAATTATATTCATGTTAATTTATGTTTGTCAATTATTTTTCTTTTATTCAGCATTTGTAATTTTTATTAAGAATATTGTATTTCTTTTTTAGTTTCTAGTCATCTCAATAGGTATGTCAAATAGATTTGTATTTATTAAGTATAAATATATCATATTTCTTTCAAAATTAATTCGTATTTTTTTTAGAATACATTCTTCCTCAATTGATTGTATTATTTTCACGTTGTATGCTATTTTATTTAAAATTGTGTATCCTTTGTTAAATCGTATTCATATGTAATAATTGAACTCTATTGAGATACAATCAATAATATTTTTATGATACAAATAATAGAAAAATATATTTGACAGACATGTAATATAATTTTACTCACTTAGATACAATTTTTAGTTTTTACTATGAAAGTAAAATATCAATTTTAATTGAATGATAAAGTGAGCACATATAATACAAATATGATGAAACATAGTAAAAAGGAAATACAGACTTGTTGTCATTGAAATTGATGTTGAAATACGAAAATGAGCACAATAAATATCAACTTAAACTGCAATAAGTGACTTTGTTAGTATATCATTATGATAAATGAAAAAATAAAAAGAAATACAAACTCGTCGGTATAAAATGTGAGAGTTAAATATAAATTGATCACTGTAAAATATTCACCTCAATATGATATTCAATTTCAATTTAAATGCTAAAATGAGCACATAAAATACAAAAGATGCATATCTTAATCTAAGAGATTGTTATGAATATCTTTAGAAATATATTTTCAAATTTTTGAAAAAAGATAAAAATAATGGGAGGGAGAGTGATGTGGGAGTTGAAAATGGAGAATAATTTAAAGAGGTAATTTTTTTTTAAAAAAAAATATGAGAGAGAGTAGAAAATGTGTAATTAAGGTGAGACAAAATAGGGAGTAAAATTATGATACAAAATATTTTCTAAAATAATGAAATTGTGACATTTTTACTAACTTTTATTAAGTATGGAGATTTTTACTAATTATATAAGATTTTTTTAACTAATTTGCTAATTTTTCTAATTCTGTTTCAATACTGGACGTATTTATTTCACTCCTAACATATTAATAATTATATATTTTTTCCCACATATGATACTTGTTTTGCAATTTCATTATTATTTCATTAACGGTGTTTATTTCAAATTACATAAGTCGATTCTAGAGTTTCAAACTCAATAAATATTTAGCTGAAATTCTATTTTCATGTTTTCTTTAACCTACTCTATTAATCAGTATGATAAAGTAATATCACAAGAAGAAGGAGGAGGAGGAGAATATTTTTAAAATTTTCATGGTTTTAAAATAAAATGAAATTTTCTACTTATAGAGAACAAAAGGTATTGTGAACAATGATTTGTTGTGCCTTATTGAAAATGTGTCAACTTTCTGAAAAGGTTATGACCTTAAAAAATGTGACATTTAATAAAAGTCACAACTTTTCATTAATTTAAAATTCTTCAAAATCACAATTTTTCATGAAAGTCATAACTTTTCATATTTCATTTGCACGATTTAAAATGCAACATCAGCTTTATATGATATATTTGTTATAAATCCATTGTATAGTATATGTGGATTATTCTTTAGATTTATCCAACTATTAATTGGATTCATGTATAGGTACTTCCGAGGTGATAAGAACTTTCAATATAACTATATAGCTATTAATAAGATGATTTTTGGAGTGATATTTCAACACTATAAATAGAGAATCACTCACCATTTGGAAGACACACTTGAATAAGAAAAGTTCTCTCCTCCATCTTATGCTTCTCGTATTCTTCTTCTTATTACATTATATTATTCTGAGCTTTTTATAATACGTTATCAGCACGAAGATGCTACTTGCAAAGGTATTGTATAAACATTTTTATTTAATTCACATATTCTCTCATAATTTTATTATGTCGAATTTATCCAAACTTGAATTTGTGGCATTAGATTTCTAGAAAGAATCTTTCATGGGTACTCGATGCAGAGATTCACTTAGCTGCTAAAGGGCTTGATGCCATCATTACTCAGGAAAATGAAGCATCGATCCAAGATAAGGGAAGACAATGATTTTCCTTCGTCATCATCTTGATGAGGGCCAGAAGATTGATTATCTGATGGTAAAAGATTCACTTGAATTGCGGATTGATTTAAAGGTGAGATATGACCACCTAAAGGCAACAGCGTTGCCAAGAGCTCGTTATGAGTGGATGCATTTACAGTTTCAAGATTTTAAGACCGTAATTGAGTAATAATCTATTGTATTCAGGATAACCTCCCGATTGAAATTATGTGGGGAGATTATAAAATATGAGGACATGTTGGAAAAGACACTTACTATTTTTCATGCCTCAAATGTGATATTACAGTAGCAATATCGTGAAAAGGATTTTCAGAAATACTTTGAACTGATCTCATGTCTCCTGATGGCTGAGCAACATAAGACTCTTTTAATGAAAAATCATGAAGCTCGTCCCACTGGAACTGCTTCATTATCGGAAGCAAATGTGATGGAAGCACGTGATCAATATGAAGTAAAAAGAGTTGATCATCGGGCCTATAATAATGCACGGGGACGTGGCAAAGATAAGAGGTGATACACCAATCGTCGAGGTGGTGGTCATAATAAAAAGGAGAACAACATGAGTTCTCATAAATAACCCCTCAAAAAGTAATTGTCATCATTGTGGCATGAAAGATCATTGGAAGGTTGAACGTCACACACATAAGCATTTTATTAGGCTCTACCAAAATTCTTTTAAAAGAAATGAAAATAAAAATGGTGCTTCCTCTTTCAAAGCTCGAGCTTAAGTCACATATAACTCTTAAAGATGATGATAAGCCGAGAACATCTAATAAGTATGATAAAGATGTTAAAGCAAATTTGGCTTTAAAGGGTGATGTTTTTTATGGCTTTGGTGGTATTACCCATACGGAAGTTGATGACTTCTTTGGAGATCGAAACTGATGTTTGATCTTTTAGCTAGGGAATGAAGTCTGTTATATGTTACTTATTTATTTTTTAATTGTCATGTTCTTCATGTTGAAGTATTTAAATTTCTATTGTTAGTTTTGTTTCGTACTTATTTTAATGTATTTTTATTTTAATAAAAATCAAAAGAATTCCCAATTGTCAGTTGAATTCAAGATGAGTAATGGAGATGTATGTCTTATTGATAGTGCTACAACGCATACAATATTAAAAGAAAGTAAATATTTTTCTAATTTGGTTATGAAAATGGCATATGTCAACACAATATCAGGTAGTACAAAACTAATTGAAGGTGCTGGAAAAGCGACCTTATTACTACCTGGAGGGACAATATTGGTCATCGATAATGCATTATATTGTAGTAAGTCTCAAAGAAACTTATTATGTTTCAAAGTTATTCACCAAAATGACTATCATATTGAGACGTCTAATGAAGGAAAGGTTAAATACCTTTACATTACTACAATTAATGAAGAGAAGAAAATTGTGCATGAAAAATTACCTGCACTTTCTTCTGGGTTGTACTATACAAGTATAAGTACAGTTGAATCACGTGTCGTAGTAAACAAAAGGTTTACTAATTTTAATGATTTTATCATTTGGCATGACTGATTGGGCCATCTCGGATTCAATATGATGCGCAAAATCATTAAAAAAATCACATGGGCACATCTTAAAGAGCCTCAAAATCCTTCAATCAAAGGAATTCTCTTGTGCTGCTTGTTCTCGAGGAAAGTTGATCATTAAACCATCAACAATTAAGGTTGGAATTGAATCCTCTGCGTTTCTGAAACATATACAGGGTGATATATGTGGACCAATTCAACATATGAAACGTATACAGTGTGATATATGTGAACCAATTCAACATACATGTGGACCCTTTAAATATTATATGGTCTTGATAGATGCTTCTACAATATGGTCACATGTATGCTTGTTATCAACTTGCAACATGACTTTTGCGATATTGTTGGCTCAAATAATAAGATTGAAAGCACAATTTCCAGACTATACAATAAAGATAATCCGTCTAGATAATGCTGATGAGTTTACATCTCATGCATTTAATGATTATTGTATATCTATTGGTATAACGGTTGAACATCCACTTGTACATGTTCACACTCAGAACGGTCTAGAAAAATTATTGATTAAACGTCTACAATTGATAGCTAGATCATTTCTAGTGAGAACAAAGTTATTTGTGTCTATGTGAGGACATGCTATTTTACGTGCAGCAACACTTGTGCGCATAAGGCTAACCAATTATCATGAATTCTCCCCATTGCAATTAACTTTTGGTCAAGAGCCAAATATTTTCCATCTTAAATTTTTTTTAATGTGCGGTATATGTTTCAATTGCTCCACCACAACGCACAAAGATGGGGGCCCCAAAGAAGGTTGGGGATACATGTTAGGTATGAATCTCCTTCAATCATAATATATTTGGAGCCTATGACTCGAGATTTACTTAAGACAAGATTTGTTGACTCTCATTTTGATGAATCATTATACCCAATATTAGGGGGAGAACATAAGTCGTTGGGAAAAGAAATTGGATTGAAATTTATCATCTCTATCTCATCTGGATCCTCGCACAAACCAATGTGAGCAAGAAGTTCAAAGAATAATTTATTTGCAGAACATTGCAAATAAGCTGTCAGATGCATTTACTAATCTTCCAAAGATTGTTAAATCACATATTTCATATGCTAATGCTCCAGTTCGAGTTGATATCTCGATGGGGAAAATTGTTAAAACAAATGATCTAGACCACATTTGAAGCGTGGTAGACAATTGGTTCCAAGGACGAAAATCCTCGAAAGAGAAAAGGAATAAATGATCAAGATGATCATGGGTTGAAAGAAATTTCTCAAGATGAAACACAAGTCATAACACATGATAAAATATCCGAGGAGGTTCAAACTTCTTAAAACAATGAAATTTCAATGAATTATGTCTCGACGAAAAAGTTATAGAATCGAAATAATGTTGTGATTGAAAAAATATTTGCCTATAATGTTGCTATTGACATAATCCAACAAGATGAAAATTTTGAGACAAAATCTATTAACAAATGTAAACAGAGAAATGATTGGCCAGAATGAAAGGATGCAATTCAAGCAGAATTGGCCTCACTGTAAAAACGTGAAGTTTTCGGACCAATAATTTGAACACCTAAAGGTATCAAGCCAGTGGGGTACAAATGGGTTTTTGTACGAAAAAAGAAATGAGAAAGGTTAAGTCATGAGATATAAAGCCTAACTCGTTGCTCAAGGTTTTTCTCAAAGACCTGACATTAATTATATAGAGACATATTCTCCAGTGGTAGATACAATCACCTTCAGATATCTCATAAATCTAGCAGTTCATGAAAAGCTTGAAATGCGTCTAATGGACGTCGTCACAGCCTATCTATATGGCTCATTGGACCACGATATTTTTATGAAAATTCCTGAAGCATTCAAAGTGGCTGAAGCATGCAAAGATTCAACAGAAAATTGTTCAATAAAGCTTCAGAAATCGTCATATGGGTTGAAACAGTTAGGGATGATGTGGTACAATCGTCTGAGTGAATATTTGTTAAAAGAAACGGTACAAAAATGACTCGATTTGTCCCTGCATTTTTATTAAACGGTCGGAATCTGAATTTGTCATAATAGTTGTGTATGTTGATGATTTGAACATCATTGACACTCGTAAAGAGATTTTAGAAACTGTTTAGTGTCTGCAAAGAGAATTTGAAATGAAATATCTCGGCAAGACAAAATTTTGTCTTGGTCTAGAGATTGAGAATTTATCAAATGGAATACTTGTTCATCAATCAACATACATAAAAAATATATTAAAGCATTTTTACATGGATAACTCACATCTATTAAGTACTCCAATGGTGGTAAGATCGCTTGACACCAATACAGATTCATTTCGACCTCAAGAGAAGGATAAAGAGCTTCTTGGTGATGAAACTCCTTACCTTGGTGCAGTCGGAGCACTAATGTATCTTGCTAACAACACTCGATCAGATATTTGTTTTGCAGTAAGTGTACTGATAAGATTCAGTTCCTCCCCAACAAAAAGACATTGGAAATGTGTTAAACACATACTTCGATATCTTTGGGGGACCATGAACATGTGTTTATTCTATTATAATGAATCCAAGTTTGAACTGATTGGTTATGCAGATGAAGGGTATTTATTTGATCCGCATAAAGCTCGATCACAAACAGGTTATTTGTTTACATGTGGAGACACGACAATATCTTGGCGACCAATGAAACAAACGTTGATAGTCACTTCTTCAAATCATGCAGAAATAATAGTCATTCATGAAGCAAGTTGAGAGTGCGTCTGCTTGAGATCAATGACCCACCATATTCATGAAATGCTTTTTCTTTCAAAAAGAATATATGAACCACAATGTAAGAAGATAATGTTGCATGTATAGCTCAATTGAAAGGAGAATACATCAAAGGAGATCGGACAAAGCATATTTTACCAAAGTTCTTTTTCACGCATGATCTTCAACAAAATGGTGAGATAGAAGTTTAACAAATCCGTTCAAGTGATAATCTTCCGAATTTATTCACTAAGGCATTGTCAACATCAACGTTTGAGAAGTTGAGATACAAGATTGGAATGCGTCGTCTCCGAGATATCAAGTGAAGTTTTCATTAGAGGGAGTGAAATACACATTGTACTCTTTTCTTAACTATGGTTTTGTCCCTAGTTGAATTTTCCTGATAAGGTTTTTAACGAGGCAACTTTCAAAGCGTATTATGAGATGTGTGTAATCTTTTTCCTTCACTAGGCTTTTTCCTATTGGGTTTTCCCTAATAAGGTTTTAACGAGGTACATAATCTATGGATATCCAAGAGGGAGTGTTATAAATCCATTGTATAGTATATGTGGATTATACATTAGATTTATCCAACTATTAATTGGATTCATGTATAGGTACTTCCAAGGTGATAAGAACTTTCGAGATAATTATGTATCTATTAATTAGATGACTTTTGGAGTGATACCTCAACACTATAAATAGAGAATCACTCACCATTTGAAAGACACACTTGAATAAAAAAAGTTATATCCTCCATCTTATGCTTCTTGTCTTCTTCTTATTATTACATTATATTATTATGAGCTTTCTTTATAATAATATTAGAATTATTTAGGGAGTTGCATTTTTTCTTTGGTGATAACTATTTAATACGTATATTTTAGTACTTCAAAAAAAAATTAATTTTGAAAAGTTAAGATATTGATATAAAAAATGAACTAAAACTATAACTTCAATTTAGTGTTTTTCTCTTTGATACTTCAAAGTAAGAGATTTTCTATTTGTTATTTCGCCTATAATAGGAGTAGGATATCTTGGATAGTCATTTATTATAATTATGTGATTCAATTTAGTAATGTAGGATTTAATTATGCAGGTATTAGTTATACAACTATTATTTAGTTATATAAAAATTATAATATATAAATTATTAACTATTCAATATTGAAATTGTTGTCAATCAAAATATATTTATTTACAAATAAAAAATTAAACAAATTCTTCTTCTTCTTTTTAATAAAAAGTAAAGAAAAAAAAAG